GTTATTAAGTTAATTAATCAATTTCTCAGTAAAATATTTTAGGCATAAGTATTTGGAGGTAAGGTATTTATATTAATGAATTAATTAGATAATTTAATGATAATAAATCATCTTTATGTTCATGCATTTAAAAGTTATTAAGTTAATTAATCAATTTTCAAGTATAATATTTTAGGTATAATAGATAATTTAATATATAAAAAAACATCTTTATGCTCACACATTATTTGAAAGTTATTAAGTTAATTAATCAATGTTCAAGTATAATATTCAAGAATTTAAAGAGTTAAGTATTTGAAAGTAAGATATTTATATTAATGATTTTAATTAAACAACAAGGATAATTGTAGATTACTTTAAATTAAGTTTTTATTAAATAACTTTAGATTATAAAAATTTAGTAAAGGTTGATATAACATCATAGCTGTTATTATTTGTTAAGTTTATATTAGAGAATATAATATAAATATTATATTAAATAAAAATAATATTTAAAATATACTTATAAGCTGACTATACTTACATGAACTTTGTAACAAAATAGTGACAAGATTGTTTAATGTCATGTCAACTCTTTTACTACAAAATTTAAAAGTTTTTTTAGACTATTATTATAAAATTTTTTTTCATAAATTAGTTTAACCAGATTTTAATTCTTTATGTTTTTCATATTTTAATTAAGCAAACTAGTAATTGTAATATATATATAGCAGGTGACAAAATTTTCTGCATAAAGTAAAATTAATAACATAATAATTATAGATGCAAACATTTGGTTGGTTGTGTTGTAACATCTTCTAAGGCATAACTTAAGACATGATGACATATCAAAAAGTTATAACCAAACTTGTCATAATTTTAGATGTATGCCATAACATTAACATATATCATAATATTTGGCAAATATCATAATACTATAAAAGGACAGTTTTAAAATTGTCCTTCTTTGCTCTAAAAAATTAATAAAAATTATTAAGATTAGCAAATCAAAAAAATTATTTATTATCTCTTAAACTTTTTTTAGACAAATTTGATGGAAATTTCATGATTAATCTGTGATTAAACTATCAGATTATATTGAATTGTAGTCTAAATCATAGTAGATACAACAGTTTAAGAAATATATAAACATCTTCACAAATGCATTAAAAAATGTAGTCTATTTTTATATTAATATTTTTTAATTATAGTAATTGGTATAAAAAAGCAAGGGCAATTATATAACAATTACTGAGACTTATCTTGAAATAATGTAAATTGATATTTTTAATCAATTAAACTCGAAATAATATATATTTAAATGTTATGACCTATGTTAATGTCAATATGACACTTTTAATATAACAACACATCAATGTGATGTATATATGTTCTGAGTCATTTCATGATTTAGAATTAACCTAGGTCATTCATAAATTTTCACTAATCCCAGATCAATTTTTAATGAAACGCTAAGGATCAGGATGTGACTAATTATTGAGTGACAAATATATATCAACTACTTTATTACATATAAATAAATTAGTTGATGCTTATTTGTCATACTTTATACTTAGAAAAGGTTGTCACTTAATCCCGAAAATTTAGAACCTATAATTATTATGTATATCAAATTAATTAATACAAAAAACAAAAATTAATAAATAAATAAAACTTAACTTTATTGATAAATACCTTTTTTTTTATTAATTTTTAAAAATGGAAAGTTATGACCTTATGGTGTATGAAACCTTTGATTGAATATTAAAAGCTTTTGTTCATTATAGGAAAACAATCCTGTTTAATAGATCAAATAAATATAATCAACATTTAACTGTACTTAAAAATTCCAATAACTTACAAAGCCCAAAATTTAAATACAGTGTTGCAAATGCAAAACTTTATATGATTAAATAACTTGGGAACAAAGTTAGTCCCATCAAAAACTTTTAAGTAATGTAAATTTTTCTTAAGTTTACATTATATGATATGTTTTAAATATGCATTTTTTTTACTAATATAGTTAAATTTTATTATAAAGAATTTTTATGTTTTTGATTTCTTTATATAAAATTTTGATTTTTTTTTATGCAAAAGAACTTTAATAATATAATTAATATTATTGCTTAGGTTATATAATTTACTACTTGGACTTATAAATTTGAATTTTTTAAATTTTTCACTGATTGAAAAATGATCTAGGTTGTTTTAAAATCCAAGAATAACCCAGGTCAATTCAGAACTGATCTAAATCATGAAATGCAATATATTTTGACTAATAACTTCCTTTTTGATTAAAATAAGCAAAGTGGCATCTCATAAGGAGATGCAAAATAACAAATTAGTGAATGAGAGCATATGAACTAATTGATTTGAATCTTATAGAATCTTAATTTGAAAAGTATTAATACAATATTTTAGGTATTAGCTAATTATATATTATATATCTGTTATTGCAAAAGTTTAATTACAGATCTAATAATATATTAACAAAAAAATATTGCAATGATAAGCAGAAAGATAAAGCAGAATTACAAAGATATGCAGAAAAATTAGTATCACAAAGAAAGATAAGCAGAAAGATTATCAGAAATTCTATGCAAAAACTCCATAATATTTCGATTTTCTTGGTCATTAAAAACTGTTATTAGCCTTTTCTCTTTTTCAATAAAACATTTTTTTGGTTTAGGTCTTTGCTTTTCATGAAGTATTTGTTCAACCTGAGTTTCAACATTTTGCTAGACCTTCATGACATTCTGCATTCTTGGAATGCCTAGCTTGATCAAATCATAATTAGACTATAAGCTTGGTGGAAATAAAAGCAAGCCACGAGTTGCTACAGCTCCATCATGTGACTGACATCATACTTTTTCAAGAACATAATATTTCTCGAACTACTGAGTTATATTATTTGCTGCTGAAGGCATACTTATCTTTAGAATTTCAAACATGGCAGGAATTTCTTGAGCTGGAAGGAATGCTAAAGCAAATAAATAGTGGATCATCAAACAAACTAAATATTATTTCTATATTGGGTGGCTAGCCTATTTTCCTAAATTTTGCACTATTCACTTTAACACAGGTAGAAGTAGCAACCCTTTTGAACTGCATTTGAGAATTCATGATGAGATGCATTGATAGGTGCCAACTCGAAGTTAGTAATGATTCAAGTAGGCATTAATTAAAGATCATTATCTTCAGCAAACTCTGATAAATTGCTAAAAAACCACCTATAATAGGGATAGTAAAGAAAACAAAATTTTAACTATTTTTTTAAAACATTAAGAGATGAGAAAGTTTGCTTAAT